AGGAGAGTGAATTGCCACCTGTATATATAAAAGAGTACGATGCAATAGTACGACAAGATGAACCAGGAGTAGAATATGGCCGAGGTCAAAGACCGAGAGGATCCGTTCATTATGATGATGGATTAACAGAGGAGCAATGGGTTAATGTAAGAAATAATTAATGAGAATATACACATTTATAAACACTCAAAAATTCTCAAAATTTCAAATATATATATATGCTCTGCAGGCTATTGAAGATGAAGATATTGATGTTGAAGATCTAATTGCTAAAAAACAAGCTGCTAAAAAACGGCGTTTGGTTAAAAAGTCACAAAAACTTCACAGTTCCACACATCCGGATATATCACATAATTCAACACCACATCCAGATGAATCAAGCGCGGATGCAGCCGAATATAAAAAGAAACGTGGGCGACCACGAAAAGATGAAATGCCCAGTGTTGATGATAACAATGCACACGACATACAGTCTAAGCAATCAAAAAAGAAAGGAAAAGGAAAACGAGTTGAAACTAGCGATTTTGAAACATTTGATCAACCAAAAAATGTAATTTATTTTGTTCATTTTGTGAATAGCATAGGTAATAAAGTTTGAATAACTTAACTTTTATAAATTTTCAGAAAAAACGGAAGCAACAGCCTAAAAAAATTCATGAGCAAACATCATCTGATACTGTATCGCCTCATACTAGGGATCGGATGAGACGTATTTTTAACAGATGTTATTCCGCAGTTGAGAACTTAATGGATGATACTGAAGGGTTTGATAGTCATTTCATATTATTTTATTTATATTTGAATGTCTATGATGGATTCAATAATCACTTATTGGTTTCATTTGATAGAGAGCCTCGACAGCGAGCATACCTCTTCCTTACACTTCCTAGTAAAAAGGAGTACGACTATTATTACACGGTCATTAATAATCCAATTGCAATGGATACAATAAAGCGTAAGATCAAGTTTAATCATTACCAATCAGCGGCTCAATTTCGGGATGATTGGCATTTAATGTTTAATAATGCAAGAACATTTAACGAAGAAGCATCAACAGTGTATAATGATGCGGAAAAAATTACAGGTAAATTAATGATATACTTTTCATGTTTTTTGTTCCTACGATTTAATATTCCATAATTTTTAGGAAGTTTTCGATGCAACGTTTGAAGAACTTTGTCCTGGAGGTCAAATTCCTCCGTCGGGAGATGAAATGGGTATTGAGAAGTGTTCAGTTAAGATATATTGTAAAATAATAGGTTGTTAAATTTAGTAGAATATAAAAATATAGTTGTTTTTTGTTAAGTTAATTTAAGATATAAAAAAAGGAGTTTGTTGAAAATTGGTTTGTTTTAAAGTAAATTTAAAAGATATTTTCTTAAAGTTATAGTATAATATATATTTTTGTCACAGGAGTGAGTTTACTTAAAGTACTAAGTAAGATTTGTAAAGTAAGATTTTTAGTAATTAGAGTTTGAATATAGAATGATATAGGATGTTTATAATCGAAGTAGTAGGCTAAAGCTGGGGTTTCAAGATTGTACCATAGCTACTATGGCTAGTGCAGCTTGTGTAGCTTATATAACTCTATGTGTAACTTTAAATTATATTAAATATAGCTGGTGCAGCTAATGCAATGTAAATTAGAATTTGCTTAATAAAACTAAATTTGAAAGAGCTTTTTTGTACTAGGGCTGTGTACAAAACAATGGCTGCAGTAGGCTGTGTTGTTGGCTATGTAGAGACTGTATACCAAACAATGACTACAGTAGACTATGTTGTTAGCTATGATTATATAAAGACTATATATGGCTATGTTGATAAAAGTTTGCTTAATAATATATTATATGTCAAAATGTTCATATAGAAAAGCTGAATAAGTTTTTATTAAGGAGTATAAGTAGTTGACTTAATGTAATTTTAAGAAAACTTAAAATTTGTAAATTTTTTTGTTTTTAAAAAGTTTTTATAATTAGTTTAATGAGTTTGCAAGTTGATGTTTTAAAACTTCTATAGTATA